CGGATGGTTTCTTTTGGCGGCCACTCGCTGTAAATTCATGGATTCCCTCCGCCATCCACTCCATCCACCTCTTTCTAACACCATCTTTAAACGGCTTGTTTAAAGAGACATCCAGCGGCTGCAAGATCGAGGTTAATCCGCCAGGAATTACTGCTAAGTTCGTGTTTTCTCGTGTCAGTGCTGTTTTCACTCTTTCGGTCACGTGGGCTTCAAACGCGTCACAAACAAGCAGGCTTCTTCTTCTCCCCAGGCCACCTCTCCTCGAACACCAAACTTTGTCGATCCATGTTTTCATTCCTTCACCGTCCATCCAACCTTTCTCTTGAGCGGCGATTACAACTCCGTGCTTGTTGGCAACCTTTGGGAGAGTTTTTCTTTTGAAGATTACCATCGGTCTCAGTTTGCTTCCATCGCCAGCACAGGTCAACACGACTGTAATGCGGTTCTTTTCATTACCCGTAGTACGAATCTTGATCGTTTTCTCTCCCGAGTTGTTGATGGTTCGATTTGGCGGCATGTCAAATGTTAGTGGCGTTTCGTCCATGTTAGCAATAACATGAAGAGGATAATTGTGCTCTTTGCGAAGATCGATAATGTAGCGGTGGAATCGCACGATTTTCTCCTCATAGTCATCTGGAAGCCGCTGGGCAAGAGTTGTCTTTTGGCGAAGAGACAAGCCATTACGCTTCATGAAACGCTGACACCAGTGGTTGCCTGCTTTAAACTGCCCTTGTGGAATCCCATATTTCTCGTTCTTTGCCATGTCGAGGGCCTTCAGCCTCACCAGCGATGGTAAAATGGCGAGACCATTGTTCCGTTTCTCTGTGATCCATTCGAGGAGACCAACCTCAAGTTCTGGCCATGCAGCTTTTTTGCCACGATTTGCTCGTTTCAACCGAGGCATCTTTTTCAAGTTTTCCTTGCTCTTCCGCCATAAGCGAACATTACTTTCAGATACTCCGAACTCTCTTTCAGCAGCGAGATTTCCATGCTGTTCGGCGAAATTGATGATTCGTAACTTATCTGACACTGTGTAACTTTGACGCTTGGTTCCGGCGAGTTTTGTAGTCATGTTTACGTTTGATTGCTCAAGATTACAGTAACTGTTTTGTTGATCAGCTGTTCGCTTAAATACTTAGTTAAATTTATTCAAGGATCCAAATTGTTAACATGTCATTGGTAGGTTAGTTTACCCTCAAATTAAAGACCAATTACATCGCACGCTTATGTGTCTTTGTTATTCTAATGTCGCGTCAGCCTAAACAAAGGATTCCGTGTATAATACGCATCTCGAATTTAGGTGTTCATTTCGGGAAAAATAAGTTCGCATTATACACGGGTAAATACGGTAAGTAGCATCAGGAAAATTAACCATTCAAAGACTGCTCTGATATAGTACTTTGTTAAGTTAATTGCATTTAATATACAGTCACGTAAAGAGTAGCCAATTTCCTAAAATTATATCCTTAGCCTCATTTTCAAAATGAGTACTGGTGCTCATCCTTTCATATGATTACCAGATTTCATTCACATGTAAATTAAACTCATTTTCACAAGAATGGTTGAGCATCAGGCCTCGTTTTGAAAAAGAGGCCAAGGGTAATTCGGAAATGGGCTATTATGTCTCCACTCAGCATATGCCCTTGTTTCTTTTTGTTAATCACAAAACAAGAACTAGTTGTAGACTCTTTACTTAGCACTGTGTGCTCTTTATTCATATTATGGCAATTTGTAAAGTAAAACAGCAGATGCAGTCAGGTGACGTGCTAAAAAAAAATTTTTCGGCCAAAAAATGAAGCAATTTCATATTAACACTTAAGAGTGTGAATTCATTGACACAAGAAAAATGATGAGTTAGAGATCACTAGCATGCTCTGGTCAGTCAAGGCAAACTCAAATTATGTACAGCACTTCAAGAGCGAGTGTTACTTGGTTTTAGTAGCAAGTTAACCCTTTACACTCTAACATCAGTATGCATATTCTCCATAATGTTCTCTATATGTTTCTTAAGGTGCTGACAAGGAGAATTTGTTTTACAATCGAAAGTTTTTTCCAGTTGGTGATCATTTCCTTTATTCTCGTGACCTTGATGTGTGATTCACTCAGGGTTGATATGGTGAGGAGAAATGAGATGCTGGTCTGACTCTCAGGGGTTAAAGGGTTAATGACAGTTTTTCCTGCATTTTAATTTGATGATTAGTTCCCGTCTTTTAAAATACTTACAGAATCAGTCAAATATGATGAAGATTTCATATGTGCACCCCCACGCAGGCTGTGCAAGCTGTACCTCTGTTCATCAAAATAAGAGGTGAACAGAACATAAAAGTAATAAGCTTGGGTTTTTCATCTTTATGGTCTGGTTTATTGACTCTAAAGAATGCTCCCAAAGTGTAATAAAGCTAAAATCTACCAGTTAACATTAGAAAACATCATAATTCTTACTCACCACCTACTGGTAGTGAGTAAGAATCATGACGTTTATGGCTTCATGGCATTTATGGCATGAGTAAGAATCATGAATTAGAAAACGTCATGATTCTTACTAACCGCCTCCCGGTTAGCTTAATTGGTAGAGCCCTGGACTGTTGTGCGGAGTTCAAATCCGGCCAGACCAACACTCAGGGTCTTTAATTAACTGAGAAGAAAGTGCGGCCTTTGTAATAATAACTGCAAATGGTTAGACTTTCTAGTCTTCTTGGATAGGGACGATAAATGGAGGTCCCGTCTCCTGCAGGGTTGGGGTAGGAGACGTTAATTTCCCGCACACGAGATTACTGTGTGATGGATGTCCTCCCCGGGGTGGGATGGGTGGGTAAAAAAGGGGTTAGGTGTCAATTGGAACGAAAGTTCTGTTCCTTTCTCCTGCCATTCCTGTGGCGAATGAATTAAACTTAAACTTAAACCACATAATTATTTCGAACACAAAATAATCAGTACCCTAAAACGGCCAGGTTCGTGTTACAAATCATGAGTAATATACATGAGTTGCTGCAACGTAACCAACTTGAAAGAAAGCATGTGAGCCTCGCTTACCGTTCTGTTCCTTTACAGCCAGCCTTACACTGGATACTGAAGTACATTATTAACTCACGTACGTTCAGATAAGCCGCTTAGAGTCCACGAGAACAGCTGTTTGTAAGAACAAGCCAAGCTCATAGAAGTCTCAAGAGATGTCGGCTGGTAGGACTGGCTGGTAGAAAAAATTACACTTGGGTTGAAACAAGAAAGATTCTTGCGTACTTCTTCCTCTGGAATTAGCCGGATTGGTGTAATACTTTGTGAAGGCCATTGATCGGTATATACTTCAGGGAAGGCAGCCACAAATGTTGCATGTCTCACCAGGGGTATACTTTACGTTATGTATGCCTATGTATGTATGTCGTGTACGCCTCTTCTAAGTGTAGTAGGTGTACATTTTGTGGCTGCCTTCCATGAAGTATATACACATTAATCAACCACAAACGTTTGTTAGTTGGTGCCCAGTCTACCAACGGCCAGAGTAAAGAATTCGTCACAAGGATTAACACAGAATGGTTCTGGTTGCAAGCTGTCCAAAGATTGACGCGAAATCATGTGACAGATGGCTTCGCAGACGGAAGATTTGATTATATTTCAGAAAAATGCACTTCCTTAGCTGTGTGTATCCGCAGTGGTATTTGACGATAAGGCCTCAGTATAATTTGGTACAATTTTGATTTCAAGACGGCGGTGGCATCGATGTCCGCAAAAGGTTCAGTAGGAAATTGGGGTAGGTGTTAGTAAATTGCAGCATTTTCAACATCTCGTGCCTGAAATCTGTTTGGCTTGCTTGGTTCGTTATTGATTGAGAGTTTCTTTTATGCGGATTGTGCTTTCATCGAAGCATCGATGGTGCATAACAGACACTGAATTACAATGACTTCCGGAATAGGTTAAACAATTTCATTCAGTACTAATAATATTGAAGTCATTGAAGCATCTGTCTGTTTCCTTTTGTAACTAAGGAAAAGTACGATGGCTTTATGACGTAGTAGCTTCGTAATGTTGCTGTTACCTGTAATTCTCGGTAGCATATAGAAACTTGGCAGCTTGAAATTCTGACCGCATAAGACGAGTTTCTACTTCGACACATACAGTGGAAGATACCACAGGCAGACCAAGTGGGTTGACATGTCAAACATACCATTGAAATATGAGGAATTGTATGAAGGTCACAATAAAGAACTAGATAAAAACAATTTTAGTGCACTTTGCTCTAAAAGCCTCAATAAGGTATTATGAAATGAAAATGCGCTTCTTGCCTCTGAGAAGTTTAGAACGTATTTTTCATGAAAGGGGAGAGCATGGCTTGCAAATGGAAGCTGCAAAGTCGCAAACTCCCCTACATCCAACAACAACATTGAACAACAACAACATTGACTTAATTTTTTTTTTTTAATTAAAGAAGTAAAGGCTTTTGTAGCCCGCAGTTAGCAAAGCTATTCTAGGCAGGCTACCTAAACAGACACTGTATAGGCTCTCACTTAGCGGAGCTCAAAAATCACAACCCTCTTGACCAACATCCGCTGACCAACTAGAATTAACGCAAAACTGAAAAAAATCTCAAAAGAAAGACGAAAGTTTCAAATCGACAAGATAATGCTTCATCGCCTATGATATTTTCTGATAAAATTGCCGCCCAAATCCTACATAGGGCTTCCTCACGATCATCGCTACACGACTCACCGACCAAAGGATTGAATGCACGAGTCGTTTCAAATTGACCAGTTAGCGTTTTGTAGCTTACAGTGACTCAGACGAGGAGAGCATTAACTTAGGTTTGACATAGGGTTAACTCTTACCCCGCTGTCTTAAATCCACCTGACTCTTCGTCTGTTGTGACTTGTTTTACTCCAAACATTTATGAAAATTATCTTCCGGAATATACTTACACATCGCTTTGTGAAAGACTGCTCTAGGCGTACGTAACATAAACGTTGAATTATTTCCACAGGGGACAGCTTACAATGTTTTAAAATGGTTCTTCTTGGAGATGTAAGCGTTGGTAAGACTTCGCTTATAAAAGCCCTTAAAAATGAACATGAACTATGGGAACTTCCCAAAGAGTATAGAGCAACCACGGGGGCCTGGATTACATACGTTGACATAACAAACACACGCAGGCTTCTCATTACTGACACATCCGGAAAGCGGGAATATACATCTCTTGTTAATTTGTACTTAAGACATCTGCACTGCATTGTTTTGGTGTTTGCCCTTGATGAGCCCTCGAGCTTCACGCGACTTAAGAATCACTGGTATCAAGAGTTCATTCAAAGCTTCAAAGGTGAGGTTTCAAACGTAGCAAAGTTTGTTGTTGGTACCAAGATTGATGTAGCACCGCATAGCTGTACATTACAAACAGAAGCAACATGGTTTTCTGAAGAAATTGGAGCAGAGATTTGGATCACTTCAGCACACACATTATCCAACACTTATGAATTGTTCTACCGAGTCGCCGAGAAGGCCAGTACCCTTTTCACTAGTGAGATCAATCCGGTTGATATCCAAGATGGCTCATCAAGTTTCGGTGACCACCTTGTGGACGACATGCTCCTTGGTGAAGGAGCCCTTGTGAAGTATCCCGATCCAGTCCTTTTAGAAACTGAAGAAGAGATTACAGATCTTCAGTTGTTCCATCAGTGTGTATCTATGACAGGGCAGAGCAGGAAATTTACTTGGGGGACTTGGTCAGAGGAGTGGTAAAAAGATCTCTATTAATTCAGTATTGCATGTGATTTTGAGTTGAAAAGGATTTTTTTAAAGTCAAAAACTACCTCTCAACCTAACCTTAAGGTTACTTGAAAATCTGTCAGAAATCCCTGTTGCTGTCAATGTCATTGGCTGCAAAATATTCCCGGGAAAAATGGGATTTGATTGATGGCATTAACGATGTCGATTTCTAGGCAGTTCATTGCGCCATGCTCACAAATTATCTGTTTAAACAATGGAAAATCTAAGTAAATCAATTGGCGAGGCAAAATTCAAACAACCTACTTTGGAACGGTGTTGACCCATAGTTAAGCAAACTTTGAATTAAAAGGAATGAATACAATTTCGCTGTTTCATGTTGATATTTTATAAAATGCCATAATAACACTAGTACTGCAAAGCTAAGGAAATCTTTTCAAAATTTTAAAAAATAATCTTTTAGCTCAAAGGAGGCAGTGTTAAAGCTGGAGATGTCAAGGCATCCAGACAGGAAATCAAACAAGCTTTGGGCCTGTGTGATGGCTAACGCGCCACCTAGCACTTGGCAGTACGAGAACTTAGAGGGTGTGAAACATTACGGAACAACAGTCAAAAGACAACCCACAAAGACAAAGTTCAAGGACGTAAAAAAGCTCCTCTTTAGTTCACGTAAGTTTCCAGATCCTGACTTTGATAGTTATAAATGCTGAATTTGAAACATCTACAAGATACTTTCAATGTATTTTCGAACGAACTGATTTCGTGCGTTGGGGGCTTTTGTCATATGGCTCTGCACCCGCGCAAGATGAAATGTAGCCTTAATTTTCTCGACATGCACCTTGCCCTACGCTCGTGAAGAAAATGAAGAACAGCCATCTTCATTCAACAGCTGAGATTAAGGTTTCCTAACTTTCCTTTTCTATTCGACTTTCTCTGTGGGTATCTTAGAGTCACGAGATGTGTTTTTGGTTTCCCAAGTCCATCTTCAGCACGCACGCGCCAACTGTATTTTTATCACATGGTAAAGATAGTTTCTGGTTGCGTTTTGATGTTTTTGCTATGACAAACTAAAGTGTCAACCGAAAGGTATGTTTTGCACTTTGTCAGGAAATTTTGAGATTTACTAGCCATGCAAACACACCTATTTAATCTCTTTTTTTTAGCTTTACACAGCTACACGAGATGGTAAATGAGTACAAGAGAACATTCGGGGGAACCGGACGAAATGTTAATAACATAAGTAACATGCTATCAACAAGCATCTTCCTTGGAAGGAGTAGAAATAATCACTGTAGTTTAAAGCTTCACAAATAGGAATAACCTCCGACAGGAGGAACCATCCTGTAAGTCTCCAGACTTATGGGACCTAAAGACCTTAAGACAGATGGGATTCAAATGTATTCATTCAGAGTTCCTTTTACCCTCTCCCATAGGTGACCAGCTAAACTGCGAAAGGGAACACGGCCTTTTTTACATGTTACTTCTGTCAGAAGATGGTAGAATGTCAGAGGTTGGCCTTAACTCTGTCAGTACGAGATTGACCAAGGGAACTTCATCAGAGAAAGAAGTTGTCAAGAATAAATTCCACTTCAAGCCATCGCCGCTCTCTGAAAAGGTGGCATGTATGAATATGTCTCTTACTCATGCGGCTGTTATTGAGGAAGATACAGCAAGAGTTAGCACCTGGGGCCATGGAGACACTGGAGCACTCGGTATTGATAAGGAAGACTTACAATATCATGCCGTTCTATATTTTCCGTTAACAGTAACATCAATAGACTGCCAAATAAAACAAGTTACCTGTGGTTCATCCTTCACTTTAATGTTGAGCACAGATGGAAAGGTATTCTCTTGTGGAACGGGAGCTTTAGGAAAGTTAGGACATGGAGACGAAACGGACAGATCATTGCCCACATTGGTAAGTATCCGTTTTGTAACTTTCCTTTTCTCCTAACGTTATTCCATAACAAGGAAAATTGAGTGTGATTAAATATCAAAAGTTACGCAGAACTGTTGAGGGAAACATTGTTTTGTTCTCGCGTACTCCTCTCCTTTTCCCTCTTTTCTTCGGTCGCATGCTAATATTCCTTCTTGGAAATTCAACCCGTTCGGATGGTATTTCAGCGACGTTTTGATGAAGATTTAACACATTTTTTCAAGCTAGACCCTACAATTGAGATGTAGAGATACTCAAAATATCTGCAAAACTTCTCACAACATGCCCCGATGAAAAGGTCTTCGATACCCAAATTTGTCATTTACCCTTTTATGTACCCCACAGGCGTTGATGAAATATGTATTTTCAATTTCAACACTCACGAAAGACTCCTTTTGTTTACGTTAAATTGATAGATTGAGTCGTTAAAGGATATCCAGGCAATTGCTGCAGGAGGTGACCACGCCGTGGCATTAAACCAAAGAGGCGTTCTTTACCAATGGGGACTGGATTGCGCTGATGTTGAGAGAAGACGGTTCCTTTCAAAACCCCAAAAAGTAAGCCAACTCTTCAACGTGGCCGTGAAGTCGGTAGTCTGTGGAACTTTTCACACTGTCTGCGTGGCGAACGGAATATACTACACTGGTATCGGATATGCGTGGGGATTAGGTTCCGATGGTCAACTAGGTCAGGGTCATTGCCAGTGCCTTTCTGCCCCTAAATTGATCAGGGAACTTTACCGCAATAGCAAATTTGTGAAGCAAGTATCAGCTGGGTGGAAACACTCTGGGCTTTTAACTGTTGACGGAGAAGTGTACACTTGTGGAAACAATGCCTTCGGACAGCTTGGTTATTTTACTGTTTCTGATTGTAGCGATGTCCCACGAAAAGTTTCTCTTGGAACGAATGTATCAGGAGACGAAATGAGGTTTGTGCTACTTTGCCCAATCTTTGTTTGGAAGTATTATGTTTTTCACACAAAGATGATGAACAAGATTAAAAGTCCATTATATGGTTTTTGTTAACTATGGCAGTTGTTGCGTGATGTTAGGCCGGGCTTGATTGCCAAGATAGAAAGAAAAACTGTCAGATGGTAAAGACGAGCGACGAAATTGTTTCTACTTTTGAATAACATAACTAAACTCTCTATATTTTTTAAATTATTGTCACTCCCTCGTACAATCCCTATCAACTAAGAAGTTTTAATGAGATAAAACTACGTACGTTCCAGATCACTTTAGGTTTTACCAGAGTATTCTGCCTCAGAATTAAATTTAGGCGAGGCACATTTATCCCTTCCACTCTCAGATTATTTCTTTATGACTAACTATGGCCATTAAAAAGAAACTAAAGCAGATACAAAATATTTTTTTAGCTATAAGCTATTCCTTGGTACGCGGTGATATCTATCGTTGTTAAGAAAGATCTTTCGTCACACTTATCCGGCCACCGTCATTTCCATCACTCTTGTGACAACTGTTGGTTTTCCTCCTTAGAGCGAAAGAATTGTGCTGTAGTGAAGACTACACCATGGTTTTAACCACCACTGGAGATGTAAAGATATGGGGAAAATGCCACTATGGGTCTAAGTTGGAAGATCCAATACCTTTTGATGTGAATAACGAAGCTTCCTCTGACCTTGCTGCTGGTGGTGAAGCCATAAGCATCAGGGATGTCACCACGTGTTATTTGCCATGTGAAACATCATTTATCGAGCTTGTTGTGGCGCTGACTGGCACAAGTAATCTGATATTTTGCGCAGGGATCTCTCCTAAGTTTGATTGCCAGGCCATGCATGATTGCATATTACAGATTCAATGCAACATGAGCGACTTGACCATTCTCCGCTCGGTAGGCTCAGTCTTGATCAGCATGGATAGGCGAGGAAAAGCCCATTATGTCGACATCTGGAGGTGGTTGTTGCAACATTTTCCTCCCGACCCTCAAAACAACACAATTCCTGAAGACCTCCTGCATTCCTTGTTCTCCAACTTGAAAGAGTCAGATGCTGATAAATCACCGAAAGTTGATTTCACTGCCGTCCCTTTTCAAGGTGATATTATAATGGCAGTGGAAGCAAGTCTCAACATATTTCTCTTTTGTACCACCATTGGAGATGTATACAGTTGGTCCCCGATGGCCGGCGGAGCTGTTGTGCGCCATAAGGAATTGAACAGTGAAATAATTGTGCAAATCGCTTGTGGTGCGAGCCATCTAGCTGCCTTATCCGATAGAGGAATTCTCTTCACATCAGGGGAGGGTACTTCAGGCCAGCTGGGATGTGGTACATTGCAAACCTTCCAGACTTTTCAGCTTGTTCCGGTAACAGCGTTGGACAGGGTTCATACTGTATGTTGTGGATGGGCAAGCACATCTGTTCTCACAGAAAATGGCAAGGTTTGTCCCTGTTTTTGTATATTTCCCACTTTGTTAGGCTTATGAACAGACACTAACGCTGAAGTTCCCTAAACAGGTTACAAATAACCTGTATTTTAATTCACCTCTTCTATGTATGTTATGGTCATCTCTTGGCGGAAATAAATTTGTTTACAAATTTCCGCCTTGAATACCTGCATTCTTACAGGTGTTAACGAATTAAAGGATGTTCACCAGAACCTCCAACAATGTGACAAATTGTTTAAACGACTTTTAGTCAAATTTCGTGGATTCCTCGATCATTTAATGTTGCGTATTTCTTTCAGGTGTACTTCTGGGGCCAGCTAGATTTACCAGAGGGGGAAAAAACAAGGAAAAAACTTTCGAGTATCACTGCTGCAGCCCAGCCCATTGACATTCCAAACCTTCTGGAAGAGACGCAGAGCAGTTCTTCTCCTGCCGGATACAAATTGGACATCATAGGCGACGTTGGAACCGCAGACAATCACCTCGCTGTAGTTGGCAGATTATTTGAAGTGGAAATATCCAAAAGAAACGAAAACTCACAAGACAGTACCTGCACGGTAATAAATGTTGATGCAGAGAGCTGCAAACAAGTTTTTGTTCAAAACTCTCATCTTGCCTTTTTTCTCCTCTCTCTGCATAGGAATTTAGAGCCGAGATAATTAACTGCCAAGACCCCCCAAATAATCTTCATTCCAAAGGAAAGATAAAGCAGTCACTTAATGCGGATGGGGTGTACGTTGCTTCCATGGTTTTCTATTCTGAAGGGTCGTTCAAAGTCTCTATAACAAGAAATGGAAAGAACCTTCTTGGCAGTCCGTTTAAAGTCAAAGCAGAAAAAAGTGTTACGTCGAAAAGAACTAAACTGTCGCTGATTAGTTCAGACACTGACTGCATGAGAGAAGTTGGTGGGGTCCTTCAGAAAGCCATCGGTCCGTATGAATCGTGGATTCAGTTGATGGGGGTTCCAGTCATCAACACAGATTTATTGACACAGGTAGCCTTTATGATGACGTCGATGACCGACAGTGGAATTTACGTCTACGTCTGGGACGCCTGTAACGGAAGCCTGCCTGAGGAGGACCTTAACTTCTGGTTGCACTTACTGTCACAACATGCATCTTCCGCCGATATTATCCTTTTGGGTATAAATATAAGCACTACACATGCCAATGACATCGACTTGGAGCCATTCCAGAAAGTGAATCCAAAGATGAAGCGATCTATTCTTGTTGGGACCACCTTTGCTTCAGAACCAGACAAGCTGTTGGAGGAATTGCTTTTGGTGCTAAGTGAAACAAACTGCCACCAAAGTCCGGTCTGGTACAGATTAGACAGTTTGGCTTCAAAAGTCCTTGAGTTGAAGATGGAAGGGATTGAACATCTTGATTATTCTAAATTTAAGAGTCTGGCTAGTGAGTGCGGCATCCAGGGAGATCATCTATGCAGAAGAGCTGCCAACTACCTTGAGCGCACAGGATTGGGTATCTTAATAGGAGCAGATTCGTTTTTCTTAGTTCTCCTGCCTCGTTGGTTTGAGCGGCAGCTCACCGAAGTTACGAGGCTCAGTCACTTCGGGAGCCTAAGCAGGAAAGTCTTAGGTACTGTCAAAGCATCTAAATATTTCCGTTTTCGGTCAGATCAATTCATACAATTAGTTTTTGGCAGTGATGAATTTTTACGCCAGTACGCATGACTACGTCATTTGCTGAAAAAGACCTAGACCTCATTAGCAAGACAATTTTCTCTAATTTCTGCCATTTTGTTTTTATTTCTTTTACCTCAATTTCTGAGGAATAATTCGTCGATAAAATTCACCAGTCGCACCTTGCAATATGGGTGTGGAGCGGAAATTGACTATTTTGATGTTAATAAGCATAAGGCCTTTTTCAAGGCACTTATCACTTCCAAGAATTAGTATTTCTACATTAAATAGTTTTCTTGGGAGCTATTTTAAGTGCTACTCTAACTCCTTGGGGTTCTCATGAAGGTCTTTTTCATCAATTTCTACTCCAGCTTACATTACCTTATTCCACATTTTAATCCCACAGATTTGACAAAGCAACACATCGTCAAATTTTTGATTGAAAAGCGAGTGGCCGTTGAGACGAGAGATAGGAGTGCAGTTTACATCATTCCTCGCCTGACTTCAAAATCTATCACAGCAAAGAATTGGCCTCCGGTGGAAGAGTCCAAATACACCATCTACAGACATTTGGTGTTTGAGGTGCCGCCCTATCACGTCCATTCCAGTTTCCATTCTCTTGTTGCGAACATTCTGCAAAAATATCGTCATGTGATTGTGGGGAAATATTCTCTGGTTATCTACAGGGACGATCAGTACGACTGTCGTATTGATTGCGGACCTTGTTTCGTCAACAAAACTGTATTGGAGGTAAGAGTGACAGTGCGGGCACACAGCCAAGATGTTTGCAAGGCTGGTGCAGATGAAACATTACGTTTCCTGAAAACGCGCTTTACGACCTGTCTTGGCTATTGTGAGATCAAGGTGTCTTGTCGTGCCTGTCGGCAGCATTATTTTGATTTGTCCCTTCTACAAGAGGCAGCAGCACTTGACGAGGATAGGTGTCATTGTGAAAGATGTCATGACAAAAAATCTACCATCAGTGACATGTTAAATGGATTCAAAGATACGCAATCGATGCCAGCGCTGGAATGGCATCCAGGTATGTAAACACTAAGCGAAAAATACTTATGCACCCTGACCTGTGTGAGTATGCTAGTTTTGTATCACCTCTAGAGCTGAAACTTGAATCATAAACATTGATTGGCATTGAAAGGAAACTTTCAGCCAGTTAAAGATAGCCTTGGACCTTGATTTTGTGCATATTTATAGGGCGAAAGTGAACAAAAGTGAATTATGGATTTAATGTTATGTTGCAAAAATATCGCTGTGTTCTGTTTGCAAAGTTCACACCAAATCATTGAACACTCAGCCTTGTCTTGAGATTTTTGCTCATCAACATAACCTCGTCTTTGACAAAGCAGGTGACTCGCACTGTAAGCCTGATGATCCTCGCTCTAACACTCTGACTCGTCCCGTGATGAGGTACTTTGGTGATCACGTCGACAAGGTTGAAGCGAAAGTGCTGAGAGAGATCAGAGAAAGGATTGAAGACTTGACAAAAGTTTTCATGGACCTAAAAAATGTAAGAAAAGAGTTAAGCAATGGTGATCGATTTGACAGACTTTTGCTAAGTCTTCGTCTTGGTTGTTACAGAGAAAGAAAAGAATATATGGTTTTTTCCTACTGAAAACCGAGAAGGAACTAAGTAATCAAAGAGGAACTAGGTAATCAAAGAGTAATTTTAGCAGTGTTGATAGAAAAAAGATAGCTTTCATGTAAGAAGAAACTCTAAGAGTTTCAAAAGTATTTTTAAGGAAAATTTAATTGCGTTCCCAGGCTAGGGAATACCAATCTTATCTCTCTGTAATTTTTGCTTTCTGCTAAAGCATGCTGATGTAGTAGAGGTCTGTTTCAGATTTTAAACTGTCTACTGCAGAAACTGTTAGGGCCGAGAGTAGATAGTAATATAAGAAGTGACTTTATATTTTGGGCGCAACAAAAGAAAAAAGTGTGGAGTCAACAGAAAGATAAGATTGGTATTCCCTAGCCTGGAAACGCAGTTAAATTTTCCTTAAAAATATTTTTGAAACTCTTGAGTTTCTTCTTACATGAAAGCTATCTTTTTATCTCGCCTGTATCACTTTTTGTAGTACGATGTTCCACGAACCATTTGCCTTCTGCCAGAATTCCAGAATCGCTCCTCTGTTTTGAAAGTGAACGCGATAAAAAGGCTTCTAACGTTTGGTCAGCCAAAGTATCGTTTGTTTCTACTTTGCGAAGGAAATGGAGACGGTAGTGGGGTGCACTTTCTTGACTCCAGCAAGCATGAAGGGTACAGACTAGAGAGCATCGTGGCTGCTGATCTGATCAAAAAAAGTGTTAATTTTTTGCGGTTTACTTTGCAGGTAAGTTTCTTGTTTTTCACGATGCATAACGTTTATGATGGCAACGTGGACACGAATTCATTCGAAGCGTTATTGTTAATTCATGGAATTCTGAAGTCTATTCTCTACTTTTCAACGTTGAGTATAGTTCGCTAACATTTTCCTCTTTTCAGCTTCTCATCAACCTTTCCTCTGTGGCGAGCATCGCTACAACCCTCTTTGATGGGGAAGAAACCCTGAATACCGTCCTCGGCACAATAGGCCTCAGTGGAGCTGTACTTTCTGGAGTTCGTTGGAAGAATGTCTTCAAAGAGGTTTGTGATATACATGTTGTCCACTCACCACATTGACTCTCAAAACCAACGACATGTACGAAACTTCTCATAACAACATAAATACCTTGTTAAGCAAACTGCTTGAGGTTGGTGATATTGATAGAAACATCGTATCCTCGACCAATCACGAGCACAATTTAAAGCATTTGCGACTTCGTTACCCGCGTTTTTTGTGCTTCAGTTGGTTTAATTATTAGCTCGTTGTAATGTTTCTTTCTTTTGATTCGCCTTTGCGATTACTATAATTGTATTTCATGAAATGTGTTCTAGAAATCCAAAATCCAAAAGCCTGCATTACTTATTTTACACACAGATGGACGGCTTCCTCAAGACTGTTGAAGAAACATCAGGTTCCATTCCGCAACCCAAGAGCCTGACTGGTGTATCAGGTACATTCCGCGGGTATCAACTGGGTGGTGAACATTATGAGTATCTGCGAGAAGTTCTGTCAAAGCTAGGTACCAAAGACAACTTTGGTGGGTTGCGACAGGAACCACGCGAAGGGTTTGGCGCCATTTGGGTGTGTGAAAAGCACAGCAAGTACAGCAAAGACACCAAAGCCTTTAACATCATTCCGTGAGATGATGATTAATCAAAACAGCTGTATCATCGTAAACAATGTGTGAACATGATAACTCGTGTTTATCTTGTAAATTTCGATGAAGAATGTTCAGGCGCTTAGCGTCCTATACGCATGTGTGTACTTGAAGTGACCAGAAAATTTTGAAAACAATGTTGTGTTTGCGCCAAGTTTGCTCAAATTAAGGGCGAGACGCTTTGTTCTTTCCTTGTATTCACACAACTATTTCGAACAAGAAATAAAGAACGCGGTATTGTTAGCTCAGTTTACTTAGGTTTCTAGGTCATATGTACTTGTGCGCACTTGAAAAAATGACCACGCTACGCGCCTGATGTTGCAGAAAACTCACACTGAGGTTACTACAGAAAGCAAAGTTCTAAACCTCTCGAATTGTGGCTGTTCAGCTCAGTTGGAAAAAGTGTCCTGAACGTAGTGGTAGGACTCGGAGGCACAAATTAAAGGCCCGTTTAAATGTTAACTCTTTTTTTAAGTTTTATTTTCTGCAATTAATTTATTTGCAGCTAAACTGTCAGGTAGAATTATCCAGGAAAATTATTGTAGACGAAAGTTGAATGCGTCTGTCTACAGCTCTTATTACACAAGAGCCTGTTTTTATGTCGTCCTCTTTTAACAATGCACCCCACGAGTCGTATTTAAATTTAAAGTGCGTGATAACCCTGCAATTGGTTTGTTTTGTGGTCAAAAACCGACGAGCTCTACATTCCTGGACAACAACTGAAATTTAAATGCAACTCACTATACTAGGTGTATCGTGCAAAGTGAACCAAAGATGATTTTATGTTTTTCGAATTCAAAGCTGTAAGCACATTTAGAGAAGCAATAACTAAGAGCCCTATGGCGCCGATAAAATTTAAAGCTCCTCGTAAATCAATTCATCGCTGGGACTGACTGAAAAGAAGGCACAGGTGTAGTATAGCTTGCTAGCACACGTTCAAACAGTCTAATTCAATATAGTTTCGCATACTAGGGCACACCAAGCTCCATAAAGATTAGATGGGTGATTTTAATATTAACCTCTTTAATTCTGATTCTCATCAGCCCACTAATGAGTTCATCAATCTTATGACATCTAATTGCCTCATTCCCTAAATCTCTAAACCTAACCGTATAACCTCTTCATCTGCAACCTTGATTGATAACATATATACAAACAATCTTGAACTTAGCATGCACAGTGGTATCTTCTACACTGATTTATCCGATCATCTTTCAGTTTTTCAAATTACTAACTTGAAATTATCTATTGAGTCACCACGTCACAAGAGATACATACGTATTATTAACCCTACAACAATTTCATCATTTAGGTCTAAATTGGAAGATACTGACTGGTCGCCAGTTTATACTGCTATTTCGGTCGATGAGTGCTATGACACATTCTCAAACCTTCTAACTTCTGCATATCGGAAGTCTTTTCCTCTTAAGCCAGCAGGCCCTAAATCCTGACGCCCTATAAAACCTTGGTTTTCTCGAGGTCTGTTTGCTTCTTGTAAAAGGAAGAATGCTCTTTACAAACAATTTCGGTTAAATCCTACTACACTTAACAAGTTAAGATAAAACAAATATCGTAACAAAATTAATACAATTTTCTCATTAAACTTGCTAGGAAAAATATTTTCATGACAAACTTCTCTCTGTTAGCTCAGACTTGAGGAAGACATGGACAGTTATTAAACAAGTAATCTCAAAAACGAAGCCTGAGCTACGTTTTAGTCATATGAAAGACAGCACTGGCACTTACTCAGATCCAACTCAAATAGCTACACAGTTTAATAATTTTTTTGCTAATATTGGGCCTTCCCTGGCGAAAAAGATACCATTCTCTCAGTCTTCCTACAGAGATTTCATGATTGGCCATTATATAAATTGTTTTTACATTACCCAAATTTCTCCAACAGAGGTTGCCAATATAGTTTATTCTTTGAAAAATAGTCCATGTGAGGGCTCTGATGGTCTCTGTATCTCCCCTATAAAAGAGACCATTGATTTAATAGCTGTGCCTTTGTCTCATATTTGTAATCTGTCATTCTCCCATGGTCTCTTCCCCACACTGCTCAAGACAGCAAAAATACTTCCTATCTTCAAATGTGATGACTCCTCTTTGCTTTCTAACTATAGGCCTATTTCCATTCTTCCCTGTCTCTCCAAAGTTTTTTAGAAACTCTTTTACATTAGACTGTTTGGTTTCCTTGATAAATTTAACATCCTTAACCGCTTTCAATATGGCTTCAGACCTCACTATTCTACTACAATGGCTATTCTTGAATTTGTTAACAATGTTTACGAAGGCTTTGAAAATAATGAATGCACTGTTGAAGTTTTCTTAGACCTTAAGAAGGCATTTGATGCAGTCAACCATCACATACTTAACGAGAAATTAAACTTTTATGGTATCCGTGGTACTCCTCTAGCCTGGCTCAATAGTTATTTGACTAAGAGGCAGCAATATGTTATGGTCAATGGCCATGTGTCTTCCAATAAAACAGTCAAGTGTGGGGTCCCTCAGGGTTCAGTTCTTGGCCCTCTCCTTTTCCTCTTATACATTAATGATATTTTCCACTCCTCTAGTTACCTCTCTTTCATTCTCTTTGCTGACGATACCAATATTTTTTTTCGTCATAAAGACTTGGCTACTCTAGAAAACATTGTTAATCAAGAGCTTTCTCATGTCTTCTCCTGGTTTAATGCAAACAAGCTTACTATCCACCCTGACAAGTCCAAATGCATTATCTTCCATCCACGGCATAAACAGATTGATCTCTCCAAAGTTAACATCTATATAAATAACACTCCTGTAACCCGGGTGGAGAACTATACATTTCTTGGAATTATCATTTATGAAAATCTTATGGAAACATCATATTATTACTGTCTGTGACAAGGTCGCTAAGGTTTTAGGAATTTTACACAAATCAAGACGATATCTACCCTCGCATACCCTAAAAACTTTATATAATTCTCTTTTCCTACCATACATTAATTATTGTAATTTGATTTGGGGGTCTACATTTGTCTCTTACCTCAAACCACTTTATATACTACAAAAGAAAGGCATTGGTATTATTACATTCTCTCTTCCACTAACACATACTAAAAAAAAAAAACCTTTTTTCTCAGCTCAATATTCTTTTGCTCCACTTACTCTACAAATTCCATGTATCCTGTTTTGTTTTCTCATATTTCAATCGCCTTATGCCTGCCACTCTTTCTTCTATTTTACATTTCAATCGTGAATTTCATGATTATTCAACTCGCTCTTGTTTTAACTTACACAAATTCTCGCATAGGTATCAATTTGCTATTTGTTCCCAAGCCCCAACTACTTGGAATGATCTCCCTCTGACTTTCCATAACAGCCTTACCATTAGTAAGTTCAAAAAGAAGCTTAAATTGTACTTCTTGAACCTGAATTAATTATTTTTAACTACCAAAATTGAACCTCTGATATACCCAGACTATTGTTTACTACTTAATTTAATCTACTGCTCTTTGTAAATTTGTGAACATTATACTGAACTTCTAATATACCCCGATTATTGTTTATTACCTAGATTTGATTAGATTAGATTAGATTAGAATACCTTAGATTAGTCTATTGTTCTTTGAAAAATTAGTCTTTGTCTCTGACCATAAGCCATTTAAGCCTCTGGCTTTGGCCAATCTTAGGAATTCACTTGTATGACACAAACAATAATAATAAAGAATAAAGAATAAGAATTGGGGTAGAATCGGGTCTCTTTTGTAACTTTACTTAGAGAAACAAACTAAGAGAAACAAACTAAGAGAAACACAAGCTACAAATGCCTAGTCAGTGATACAAGATTTTATTAGTAGCGAAAGGTTTATTAGTTGTTGATGTAATAATTTGAGTAATTTATAGGCAGTGTATGGAACGTTTTTAAAACATTGTAACAAGCTGTAATTTTAAACTGAATTCCTCAGGTCCATAGGAACATCTTAATTGCTTATTTCAAGGCCATGAAACATTTTACAATGAATTAAATCAGAAATTATATATTAAAAGTTAAATTGTATCTTTATAAAAACTAATAAATATTTTTGAGACTTGGTCAGCTATTCCTCACTTTGAATAAAGGCTGATAGTTTCGAAAGAAACTGTTCAGGGGTGCGTCGGTAGGGGTAATGAAATAATTTGGATAATTATATCAACAAAGTTGAAATGGTAAATTGGCCACTGTAACGATTACAAAAGCTGACGTTTTGAGCGTTAACCCTTCGTCAGAGCGAAGGGCTAACGCTCGAAACGTCAGCTTTTGTAATCGTTACGGTGGCCAATTTACCATTTCAACTTTGTATTCCTCACTTTGATCCACAATACCACACACACTGCCATGTGCTCATTTTCCCTCCTCCAATGAGGAACCTGGATCTACATGTACAAAGGCTACATTGTTCAAGCTCCAATTCCTTTTTATTTATTTTTTAAAGAAGAACAATTAAAAAGGTTTGCTACCCATCCTTTGTCTACATAATCAAGGTAATAGTCTTTTTTTTAAATGTAAAATACACAAGATCAAAATTTCCTTTGCGGAGAGGTTATTTCCTTCCATACATCAGAATGGAAAAGACAGAAAAACTCACCAGCTTCATAAACTAATAGCAATACTTCATAACCTGTACAATGACAAACAGCTCAAACACTCTTAATGGAAGTCCCTTTGTGCTATGAATGGTATGATTTGAACTGACCTGATCTAAATGTAACTAATTTTTTGTGGATTGCAGTACACTAGGGTGACCAAACATTAATTACAGCCACAGCAAAGTTGTTTTAGTCTGCTCCTTCAAATGCTACAGCTGCCTCAGCTCGAACATAGAATGGCCCTTCACGTTCATACTCCCGCAGTCGTAAATGAATGGGTTTGTCAAACACTTCCTTTGAGAACGGAGAATGAACAAGTTCTGCTATAAACTCATACTTGAGTTCTTTACCAGTCTTGTCTGTTTCTGTCTTCCTGTCCAAAAGGTACTCAAGGAAACCTGCAAAAAGAAAAAAAAAAAAGAAAACAAGATATTGTGAGCCTTAAGGTTTCAAGTTATTTGGTCCTTGTTAAATATCCATGACTTACCATGAAGAGGCAGGTTTAGGTGCAAGCTTTCTCAAGGTGTGGCAGAAATTGTTTAACTAACCTAACTCAACTAAATTAAGTTGCCATCTCTGAAAGTGTCTAGTGACAACCTCAAAGCCAGACATGCCTCTGTGCCAAGCTCAAGTTCAAGGCAACTTATTCCAATCATTTGAGGAAAAAGAGAGAGTTTAAACAGTAAGTGCAATTAGCCAATATCCTTGTAAATAGCAAAGAGGTTCTCCTACTCCTCAAATGTTTTATCTTTTTTTTAAGAAACTTCAAACAGTCTGCAGTCCATCATTTTTTTCCAATGTTTTCATTACCATTCACATTGTACAAGTGGGAACATGCAGAGAGTTTTACCTTGTATATCACCCTCTGTGAGCAAATGTTCATTTGTGTAATTATGTAGCAGGAGACACTCATTCATCTCATCATCTGTTTCTGTTCCAAACCAAAGTTTGTGACCAGAAAAGATTTCCCACTTTTATTTATGATTATAAGAGGTTATTTAAATTTATTTCATTTAAATTCTTATTTTTTTTTTGTTCTTACAATGTACCTGGGCAAGTGGTCATGTTTTCTTGAGCCCATCGGTACTTGGCAAGACTTCTCAACACTTTCAACACAGCAAAGTGAACATCTTGAAAAGGTTGTTTGGAAATTTCCATCAACTCCTGAAACGGATTAGATGTCATTGCACTGAAGAGCGATTTTGTCAAGACTGACAAATCCTCAGAGGGAACTTCTGTAGAATGAAAAATCAAGGCCAGTGTTTCCAGCGAACGAGTCTTCACATCAGCTTGGGAGGAACTGATGTTTGTGCACAAGATTTTCATGACCTCCTGAATGCGGCTCTTGTCATCAAATAATACTCGTAGTCCTGCTTCTGAATGTGACACAGCACCAACTGTTTCTATTGCAATCAGTTTAAGTGATGGATCTGCAGCTGTGAGGAAGGAGATGACAATTTGCAAGAACACTGGATACTGCTGAGTCACTTCTGCTGGTCTGGACTGAGCCAGATAACCAAAGAATCTGATAATATCTGCAAGATTTCAAGATCCAATATATGGATTACATGAGTGACCAAGACAGAATTACTCCTTATAGTATTAATACATTGTCAAGCATACAAGTGATGAGGAAAAAAAAAAGAAAAATGTCAATTGAGGATTATTAGTTGATCCAATAACAAACTCTCTGAAATAAAATCATAACAATTGTATGGCAGACAGTAAGGAGAATCCCAAATAAACAAAATAAATATGTAAACATGTTAATTGAAGCTCCCCCTTAGGGGCTTTTAAGCCACAATGTAGACTAAGTACTTGAAAATCCCCACTGGCAGGAGGCAGACCAGTAGGCTATTTACAGAACACAGCCAAGGAGTTGAACTAAGGGCAACCGAGGACAAATCCAATGAGTGTCAGGGTGGAGGACTTGAATCTGGGACACCAGATTACAAGTCCAGCTCCCTAACCACTCAGCCACGCCACCTCCACTAATCCCCACATAAGATCTGGGAGTGAAAGGGTTGACATATTTTAGAGTTTTACCTGATGACAATTTTTCTGTAAGCCCAGACAGCAAAGTGCACAGCTTATACTGAGCTGCAAAACTGCTTGGCCTTCCCTACAGCAAATCGCTCTGACAAAGGGCTAACGCTTGAAATTTCAGCTTTAGAAACTCTTAATGGTGGCCAATTTACATTATTATGCATTAGACTATGAAAATATTGATTGGTTGAGAGCATACAGTCAATAACCCAATGCCTCTGAAGTTGGCATGATAACCCAATATCTGCAGCAGAAAGTCTACCTAGTTTCCAAGCCCCTTGTCCATGTAATGCTTTCAAACTTTTACAAACTCAGAGAGAAGTATCTTCTTTTGCAGATAATTTAAAAAATGTTTAACAAAACAATTATTTGTGTCTGTGTCTGTGTTATCTGCCTCAGCCTTTGGTTTCATATAACTCACACCTCAGCATTGATAATTCTTGATACCATGCTTTTCCTCATCCAGTAATTGCTTATTATGAACTCAGTTGATAAAACCAAATTATCTTTTAACACCCTCCACAAACCCAGCACCACAGTTTGTTTTATAAAATGTAAACATTTACATCATTTTAACATAGTTTCTGTGTTTGGATTGTCAATCTAAAATTAAAATCTTACTTGGTAACATCAAAGACATCAGGGGATCCGCTTCAGCAGTTATCAACAAATGGTTTAGCTTGTTTGCCGTGCCACTTTCTTCTACAAACATCAGCCCATTCGTTCCTGAATCTGCAAGTTGCGTCAGCAGCTCAATGCTGTTCAATCGGAGCAAAATATCATCTCCATCAAGCTCTTTTGCCAATTTTTCTAGAACACCTGATTTCCTACATAACTCAAAAGCTTTTTTAGAGAGTCCTTGGACAGTCACCATGAGCTCATACACCCTGAACCGGATAACCTCCTTTTGCGTCAGTAGCTCCTCGATTTCGCTCTGAATGAGATGTTGAAACAGAATTTCCAGGCCGGATTCATGCTTTGCAGTGTTTATAAGCGTATTTGAGGCCAGCTTTACGCAAGCAAGGCTCTCGTTGCTTAGAGCACGAGTAGTGTAAACCAAGATATCCACATTGTCCAAAATAGCTAGAAGGCCGTTAACAGTTGTAGAGCATCTTTCCAGCTCACCCAAGCAAAACTCGCGGACCTCAGACTGTGGATGGTTCAAACCTTCGATAATGAAATCGTGGTACTGAGTTATAACTGCATCTGCCTTCTCTATAGACAGCAATTTGCTCAAAATTCCTTTGCACAGTGAAATTTGCTCATCGTTTGTTGTACTGAAACAGCCAAACAACAAACGCACCGGGATGTGAGGGGCTATCTCACGAAGACTAAAAGATGGGCTGTTTAGAAGGGCACTAAGATCTTGTAAAGTTATCATTAACTCTCGGACCGAAGTATTTGAAAGTCTCTGAACAATCTCCACACATTTCTCGGCAGCCATCTTGGTTCAATTTCGAGCCCGCGAACATCTGCGGAGCTATGAATAGGATGGGTGTCATGCAACAATAATGAATTATCATTNAAAAGATCGAGGCGCGAACGAGAAAGGTGCCAGGGCTTATTCGGAAGCGAGGCTTCGCGGGATTCTGCCATTTGAAAAAGAAATGCCGCATAACTTTACGTCTATGAGTCAAGTGGGACGAAACAGGGCGCTTCCACTCACCTGACTGCAGAAAAATGATGCCCACTCTTTAGGATCCGTCGGAGATAAAATTGATCACTGCTATTTGCCAAACAAAACATACACTTGAAAACTGAGTCTATGAGAAAATACTGTACCACAAAAGTAAGCGATACGAAATTTTAATATCCTGCCTTGTAACCCATCACTCTGAAGGGCAAGTCAACCCTGTCTCCCTACCTCTCTGGCGAAGGAAATCATATAATTCTTAACTTCACATTAAAAAAAAAAAAAAACATTCACGTACACGCACTCTTACAGTTTATCAGTTTTTTTTTCCTTTGTTTTCCTCTCTTGAGTTTAATATGGCTTCACAGACCATGCAGTGCCGCACATCTAAGTTTCTTTCTTTCAACGATTTCTCCATTTTCATACTAATTTTGTGTCATTCAAGAATTCTGTGTCCAACGACTTAAAATTTTGGAATGTCAAGTGCCATCTAAATTAAGAGACATGATTAATTACAGCTAACTCGAGCAAATCGACACAGTAACTCCGGTGGGAATTCAATTTATTCATTAAATCCAAGGTGCGATTTGACAGTGTGTAATGCCTCTGATATGTGAACGTACTCTTGAAGAGTCGTGTTTCTACTTCTGAACGCCACAACGCCATTGGTGAGTATGGTATCAAGTATTGTTATACAGTAAGGGGTTCCTATCTCGTCCTGATAAGCATAACACTCATTTGCACTGGCGTGAAGGGAACACTGAGTGGTGATTCCTTTAAATAAAGAAAAGCCATGGGTTATTATTCTCCTACTTTGCAATGGTACATATAGAGAGAAGTTTTCAGCTGGTGTCGAAACGAGCCCGGAAGTTATCGAGGATTACATTAGTTTTGCTACAATTTGCTTTGTAATTGTTCTAGAACTACGCTGTCTTCTTACTCAGATGTTGAAGTAAAATGAATAGTTACTTGGTCACGGTAGTTATGACGTGTCTCAGGAAGACTGATTGTTTTATGCTTTGGGTTCTCATTGGCTACTTTTGATATATATCAATGTACTCATCGGTCGTGGAGATGAATTCACTCTTAGTTTTATGAAACTCAGTCGCAGTGCAATTCAAACAAATTCTCCATTAGGATATTTCTTTGCACGTCTATTTGTCACGTAACTAACCCAAAATCAACTGGATGTCTTACTATAGATGTCCACCGACACCGGTCGTGTTACAACAGGTCCAGCATAGGCCATTCCGAGTTCTTAAGCTCTATTTTTCAAAGAAAGGTGAGTGCTCACACCTTCTTGCGGAAATTAGTTTTATTTGAATGACATGGGAAAATTTTTTTTTTTTTATCGGAAGTTGTGCACCTACCCTCGGTTTAAAACAGAGGCTGTGTGTATCGCTGACATTGCTTTTTACATTACGGTTAAAGAACTTTTTTTAACTTTATAATCGTAATTAGCCATCTGTTTTAACCGTAAAAAATCCCTGGCCACCTATTTTTGTGTTTGTTATATCCAATCTTTTTGGTGTCGCTGTTTAAATTTTTTTTTAATAAAGTAAATCATTAAATAAAGCTTCAAAATCATGTGACTTATCTCCTTTAAGGTAATACATGTACAATTTTTAACACACCTGCCTCTCGAAGCTCTGATGACAACTGGTGAGCTATTTCACAGAGCTCATTATGTTGTGGATATTGAGAAAGAACTGCAACTTTTACAGGGGCCAACTGGGGATGTAAATGAAGAACTGTGCAGAGACTAACTTTTCCACTTGAATCAGATCTTTCCTTTTCTGAATATGCATCCATCAGATAAGCAAGAAATCCTAGAAATTTAAAAAATTACAGTGCAATATTTATGAAATTATGAAATACATTCTCCTGACCCTGCGCATGCCTGCAATGTGGGAATGTTTGATACACATACATGAGAAGTGATAGATGCAACTGGCAAGAATGCCAAACATGTTTGATCTAGCCTGCAGTGTGGTGGGTTTTCTTTCTTTGAAAAAAAAAGTTTTGCAATTTGTTTGTAGTTATCATCTATGATCCAAAAAGGCAGTTTAAGGGGAGAGGTAGTTCACAATCCATTTACATTATTATTACATTTCTTTTAGGGGGGGGGGTTGGGAGAAGCATCCAAAATAACTTAAGAGAGGAAAAAGACTAAGAGCAGCCAAATAATGAGAAAAGACTTACCTAAGTATTGCAAAAATTAAGACTATTAAATGTAAAGATTTACCTCTGTTAAGATCAGTTTTGACCTGGATTACATGAGGTATTGATTTCTTGTCAAATGGTAGTCCTCTGAACTCATCAGTTGCTATGTACTTGTGTAGGTCCGACCTGACAGTAATAGAATCAACTGATTCTTGGCCCCATGGAAACATAAACTATAAGAAAAGAGAGTACTAACTGATACTTAACAAGTAATAATATAATTATTATATACACATCCATTTGCACTTCACCCTTTTCTGCCTTTACCACAGTGCTACAATCTGCAAATGTTCAGATTAATATTGTCTTCCAGGATGTCTGTTTAGCTCCTTGTACACTTTGTAATTTACAGTCTTGCAAAAAGTTTTCAAAGTTTTCAAATTTCACTTACTTGTAGCTCATGCAATAACAAAAACTTTATGACACCACTTGTGCCTTAAATCATTCTGTGCACCTATGTCCATTTTCTTTCCTGTACGTATATTGAATCTACTTAGCAGATATACTTATTAAAGATGTAAGCTTCTTGGTTTTTCTGATTATGCTAAACAACCACAATCCACTCTCCATAAATAATTAATAAAGCAAAAAGTAAAACACAAATTTCCATCATCATCATCAACTTTATTACTTCCCTCTCCTCCAAATTAACAGGGCAAGAAAATGTTCTATAAGTTTCTGTCACAAACAGTGACAGAAGTGTTAGTCCAAGACATTAGTGCAAAAAATGAAGATCACAATTTTATAGAGTACTGTAACTTCAAATAAGCATGATTGGGTACCTTTACTAAGGTTTTACTGTATGGGCCAGTTTCTAATTCTGTCTGTTCTTCAAAAAGACTGTAATTAGAGCGAATTTTTGCAAATTTTCTCCACCACAAAAGTCTCTGTCTTTTCCAATGATTTGTCCAATCTTTTACTCTATTTTCAGCACAAAAGAACTCTAGCGACATGATTTCCCTCTCATGAGACCTGCACAAAGACAAATAAAAAGAAACACCATCACAAATTATTGTTCAACTATGGGTGTACAAAAGTAATTCTGTGACAAAGGCAAAATGATAGTACATGAATGTTTATCTATTAGAAGGGGGAAGGTATTACCTGTATTAATAAAGAATAATACAATATTTTATGACAATATTTTATTACCTCTTTTCTTATGAATATTCAAACAGCCATTAATCATTCCTCTTCCTGCTCCTACTACCTTCCTTCCTTCTTACTACTATTGTCTTAGTACTCAATAGTTGAGTGTTCAGTAAATCAGGAATAGATGACCAAGGGGGCCAAGTTAAGTCAAATACTCATAACCACATGGGCTATTAGCATACTTTTCAAGATATGCGAACCATTTTTTTTTTTTTTGCACTCAAATAACAAACCAGAGAAATTTTGAATATAAGTAGACATTGACACAGCCTTATGCTTCAACACCCTTAATTTTAGAAATGACTGGATTTGAATAAAGAGTGACATTTATCAGTCAAATTTTGTAAGTCCTAAACAATTGCAACTGAAAGGTCAGTCAGTTACTGGCTACATGTATAAGATTCATGTGGCTGGTTTCAGCTGTGATCGGTTACACTTAATTTGAAATTTTAAGACATCTAACTATAGATCAATCAGACACTCAAGACAGTATAGTCATTCTGAGCATTTAAATCGATTACCTGAAAATATAATGATCATTGTCTGGCCTTTCAAAGTACTTTCTGCTCCACGCAGTGCCAAAAGGTACTTCAATTCCAGGAAAGATTCCGAGTAAATGAGTCATATATTGGAGAAAAATATTACTCAATGGATCAAAATCATCTCTCCTAGGCGTTTCCTCTTCAGTCGCAGCTGTTGATTCTTCCTTATTGGTACCAAGAGTTTTGTCCTCTGAAACATGCGTTACTAATTCACTTGCTGATTCAAAACCATAAACCTTACCCTTTGATCTAACTACATCATGCCACCAAGCATTTCTCAAGTTACGCCTCAGCTCAGTACCAAGTGGTCCAAACTGGTATCTGTAATAAGCTGTGGGCGAGTTTTCGATGCGCGACTCCACTGAAAATCCACGACTTTCGCACAACCTTATGACCTTGTCGAGTATGTTATATTGACGTCGTGACATAGAAATCCCATACAGTTTGAAGCATATTTGAGTTACAAGTAAATCACCTCGAATCTCATCTCGTCCGCCATTATGTGAATTTTATATCAAGACCGCTGACAATCAATACCGCGCTGTACTCGCGCCCAAGCTTTCAAATTTACAGTAGCCAATCGCTAGCGATCTTCTACTTTAGCAAACCAATCAAATGGTAGTTTTTTTCGAAGACGGCTTCCCGTGAATGATCTAAGCAACATAAACTAAAATGGCGAAGGTTTGGCTGTGTCTGCATGGTTGTGGTAAGTTTCTCAAAATTTAATACCTTTTTAGGGATATAACCTTCATCAAAGAGGCGTTTTTATAACGAAATATGTCTAGTTTTAAATGTTATTCAGAGAATAACGTAGAAGACGGGAGGAAATAAGTTTAGTTGACGAAGAATTATGGACAATTGACTCACAGGTAGGGTAAGAGCTCCGTGGAATTTGTCCCACGTGCACAAACAACCAATTCAAACAATTGTTGATACTTTAATTATAAAACGAAAAAAAATTGCAGATTTCCTCAAAACGTTTTCCCCGACGGATATTAACGCACGCTAAATTAAGTACATCAGAGAAAAAATACTACGTAGTATACGTACGTATGTTTCTGAATTTATATGAACTTATCGCCTGGACTGAAAGGCCGAAACTATTATATACATTTAGACTCTATGATTACATGATTTACATCCAGTGCAACTTGAAACCTTAAAAGGTTTACATGCCAGAAGGCTCACCCAGGCAGAGCCTATCACAATGTTAAGTAGCATGAAGCAACCCTAAGTATCACTACTTCTTGCGTGGTGGTACGCCAGTCTATTGCAGAGGTATCCCCCATTGTTTTGTCAAGTTACTGTTCTTCTGAAAAATGCAGTTATCCAGTGCTACTGCTCGGTGGAGAGAGGGCCAAGAGGGAGTGTTTTACCCAAGAAGGCACAGTAAAATACCCAGCTAGAGGTCGCTTTCAGATCTATTCAACCATAGTTCAGCGAGCTTACTTGACTATAGGTCACTCTATCTCCCACCTTTTGCGCACATTCCATGTACTTCTAAAGAGCTTGTGCTCTTTTTTTTTTGCCAACTTTCAAGAAACAAATCAAATGATTCAAAATTGGCATTACTGCTTGAAAATCGCACTCTGTACTTGTAGCTAACTTTTTTAACACAATGACTCGCTCTCACACAGCCTAACCATGACTTGATGTAATCAACAATTATAAATTTTACATTAAACTACCTATACTCTATGGCTCTCTGATGAGCAACATCAATTATTTTTCTTTGTCAGCTTTTTGTTAGCAACTATCTTGATGTGGCTGCAGTCTGTAGTTAACCTGTTCATTGCTGAAATCAAGAGCTCTTAAAAATGGTGGATGCTGAGACCACAGCTATACAGAAAATAAAAAGCAATGGTAACAGACCTGAGGAATGGCTGGAGTTTTTGGCTCTGCAACAATCAACACTGGCAGCAGATCTTACTGATGAGAACTGTCGGCACTTGCTGTACCTCTATGAAAGAGCTGTCAGTCAAATTCCAGCAGAAGAAAATAAGAAAAATATCTCCTATGCCCACATTCTTGTAAATTTTGCAAAACTGCAAATGTAAGTGTTATAAAAAGAGCATAGGTTTTATTTCTTCAAAGACCCAGCTGGAGGGAAAAAATGGCTATCAATACTAATTCGGAGTCAGGAAAGATCAATTAATTTTGCAAGGTGTTCTACTATATTTCATCAGTTTTGTAGGAAAATATAGTATATTATGTATCTTAAAAACATTTGAAAACATGTGTCTGCTTCAATGCAGACACATTTTGCAAAATTGTGACCTTAGTTGTGTTCCTGTGTTATTTATAGGAAAATATCGAAAGATGATGCACGGAGCACATTCCAGTTGGCACGAAACAATGCAAAACACTTTGCTATTGTTTTTGTTGCATGGGCACAGTTTGAGCTTTCAGCAGGTTTGAATCCAACTCATTTTTCAACTTCATCTTTTTTTATCGACTATGATGCATCCCCTTTACCCTTTGAAAACACAGGAGGGTCCCAAAGGAGTTAGAAATGCACACACATAGCAATCACTGTAATTATCAGTGTGTTCCAGCTGAGCCTGGTGGATGGCAGAGGTGTCTAATTTTTTTCTTTATACTACTTGCAAATTTATTTGCTTTTATGGATTTCCAAAAGCCTTTAAGAGCTGTACACTCGTGGCTAATTGTAATGAGAACCTTCTGCAACTCTGTGATTCTTCTCAAAAGAAAAACCTGATCTTGATGAATCTTGCACAATTTTTGTAGGAAACAGAAGCAAATGCAGAAGCTTGCTACGAAAAGGAAAAGATTCTGGTGCAGAACCCAAGGAGTTACTTTTGAAAGCTTATGATAACTTTGTAGCACAAAGGAAGGTGTTGATTGAGGAGTCTGAGGAACTGACAGGCTTTACAGGTTACAGAGCCAACCAGAAGAGTAGTGAATCATCAGTAGATATGTCACCTTTGAGTACAGGTAAAGTTTAATTGCTCTGTTGTAGCTTTTAGAGAATGATTGTTATTGATCAAAAGGGGTTTATGAGACAAGCATACATACAAAGTGAAACATGCAAAGGTTTTGCACGTGATTTGGCCATGTACATCTCAACTGGGTACTGTAGACTGTATTGAACAGGGCTCAACACTAACTTTTCAACTTACTAGCCAAGGGGCTACTGACAACATAGATGTTACAACAATTTCAGTTTGTTTACTAGCCAACTGGCTAGTGGAAATCTAAAACCACCAGCCAAAACTGAATTTCTACGGTAGTCTGTGGCTAGTTGGCTACCATTAGTGTTGAACCCTGTTGAATTTCGACTTAATTTGGGAATAAAAGGGTCACCCTATCTTAAAGTTAATGATGATATTTCTAACAATCATCATCTAGGTTTGTTGGTGTATTTAGTCTTCAGCCAAAAAAAGTGTGAAATTTGTTCTTAATGTTGGGTTGCCAGATAAAATAAGCCCAGGGGGGGTTCAATATGCCCAGGTCCAAGTAACTGTAAAAGATTTTGAGTAACTTGTTGAGTGGTATATGACACAATGTCATGCTTCCGTGCTGAAAATTGGCCACAAGCATTTGAAATAGTTTGAGAAATGTGCCAGTTGGTGGCTTATTATTTTATTTTATCCATTTATTTCCTTCTTTTTTTTATTTTGAATTTCACAATTACAGGTGATTTTTCATTTATTCACATCTCAATCTTAAATGTAAGCACCATTTATTATAGCAAACAAGAAACAGCTTTATGGGACCAGCAACTACTACAACTTTCAATGTCATGAGTTGTACAGTGCTAGGCATGTCATATTTAAGTGCTTTTATTGACCGCATGTTTGTGAGGCCAAATGTTATCTAGTTTGGTTTGGTTATCAAACTAATCTTGTTGTCTTCTTCTTAACTCATAAGAAGATGAAAGTTCAACAGGCACTAACACACAGCTCACAGAGGCTGACACTGCAAAAGTTTCAGACAATACCACTGCTGTGATTTCATTCAAATTACCAAGTGTTCTGGAGAGCTGTGGCAAGAAACCTCTCAGTTGCAGACGAAGTAACAGCAGCAGTAGCAGCGATGAGACAGACAGCATCCTTTACCAGTCATCCACCCACAGGCAGCGGGGGAGCATGTCCACCCAGAAACCATCTGTGAAATCCACTCCTGACTTCAAATCAGGTTAATAAACAAGATATATGCAGCTAATCCCAGTTGTTAACCTTTTCACACCCAGGATTGACCTAAAAAGGATTTTCTCCTTGCAAGATTGATGTATCTTCATGCAGAGAGATGTTGAGAAGAAAGAAAAATATCAACACTTCACGTAAACAGGCCCTTAAACAATTCCACAACTTTTCCCCCCAGGTAACTTTTGGGCATACACTGTAAATCCTCCATTGAGCCCCCCCTCTTTAATATGCCCCCCTCTTTAGAGGAAGAAAGTTATTAAGCCCCCCCCACCCCTCCCCCTCAAGAAACAAAAATTAAAAATAACACTCAATGTCAGTAAGTACGATCAATTTATTCAATTACTGTAGTTTGTCATTTAAAATTGATTATGGTAATGGATTGATTGATGTTATCATGTTGGCATCAATAAATTACGGTATATGGAAATTGCAGAGCAATGCTAAAAATATAAAATGGCTAAACAAGGTCCATTGAGAGAGTTAGATCGTAAATTTGAGTTCTTTATCGTCTTTATTAATTATCCCCCCTCTAATAAGCCACCCCCACCCCAAGTCGCTGAAATAAATAAGCCCCGGGGGAAGGGGGGGTTTATTAGAGGGAAATAACGGTGAATGTATCTTTAATCCATTGTGCTAAAGAAAGCTTACCAGAGGAAAACTTGTCAAGGAAATCTTGCCAATGTTACTGACGGGTTAACTTGCACTTTAGGTACAGACAGTCTTGCAGGATGTATGAATCTATCAGTTCGCCGCCACAAAGCAAGACGCGGTGGAGGAATACACTTTGGTCTTCCAATGAGAGTGAAGAGACCACTGCCTGCATTGAGTGAGCCTGGTGATGAGTTGGATGGTATAACTGAACTGGACTGTACCGTGGAGGTGCCTCAACAACAGAGTTGTGAACCTGAGACAGCTGCCAGTAACCAGATACATGGATTTCATCTGGCCAGGAGCAGTGTTCATTCTGCGTCTACATAGAAAGATATGACTAAGGAACAGAGCCTCTCACCTGCCTCTGGATCTCAGAAAGAAACATCGGGCTAACATTATGAAGGGCGTTTCAGGAATAATACAGTGGAAACACAGGAAGTTGTTGCCCCGCAAGTAACAGAAAACCTACTGTATAACCAGCAGTCAGCAGGGTCTTATTCATTTACTGCAAACCCTCAGCCAGCGATGCTGAATAACAGCTGCAGTACACAACAAGGAGAGGTATCCAACTCAGGTCGCCAGCCCATGCTTTATCAAATACCAACACCACAAGGTTTGCCATCTGCGTCAAGCCAAGTTATTGATGGCTCAGTCACCATTCGGAAACAAAGTACTACTTCAACTGCACAACCCGCTGAAAGAAATGGCTCTCTGTTGCAAAAGAAGACTGCACAAGTTAGTCACAGTGGCCCGTTGCACTCGACGCCTGGTCAGCTCTTAGGTGCCCGTTGTGCCCCAGGTTACCCTCAAGAAATGCAGTTCTCAAGGTCAGCAGCCGTCCCTGCCCAGTCCTCGCAGGAGACTATCAGAGTGAAAGGCAAATTGTACCAGAGATTAGGTACTATTGGTAAGGGCGGCTCCAGCAAGGTAAGTTGTCTGGCTTTTGTAGTAATTTTTTTATCTGCGATGTGTTTATTGCAACTTTAAGCTCCGCCTTGAGACCAATTTTCGCCATCCTTTCCAACTTGAATTAAACTTGTAATTCAAGCTTTGCCACTGCTTTTAAAATGTATCATCCATTTTTGTGCAGAAGGTCAGCATTTTAGATCCGCAGGAGTGTGCGAATCGTGGATAACTGACATGATTATCTGAACTCTACGGAATCCGAACAGTATTCAGGATTACGAATTACAAATGACAACCTTTCGACTACCTTAGGGCCAAGTTGACGCTAATGATTACAATGTACTTCCTCTGAGGTTTTCGAAACTTTAGTCATTACCACCGACACCAGTCCAAGTCTCCATTCATCCGGGCAATTACACGACACGATCAACTGTTACTCCTGGGTTCAAACTGTTTACTGTTTTGTAATCTGTTATTTTTTCATTGATGCTCTTCCAGGTCTTCCAAGGTTTCGACGGGAAAAGAATATGTGCTATAAAGTGCGTGAATTTAGAAGAAGCCGATGAGTTCATTGTTCGAAGCTATATCAACGAGGTGCAATTGTTGGAAAGATTGCAGGGCAATGATAACATAATTAAACTATTTGACTGGTGAGTATGCCATTCTGCTTTATCTTGTTTCTTTCTTTTTTTTTTTTTTTTTTTTTTTTCCCACGCATAGCATCGTTTGGTCCCAAACTGCTGCATCTACAGCCACTCATACCGTACGCACTCTAGGAGCATTAATCACGAAATTTTGGGCTGGCTAAACAAGTAATGAAAATCTACATCTACTTTTATTGATCAACAAGGCTTTCATATCAAGTCGATATAAAAAATGACAGAAAAATTACTCAATCTGAGGAGAACACAGTACCGTACGATAGTTTCCCTTTCCATATTCTTCTAGGGAGCTGAGCCAAGAGATGAGTTCCCTTATTTTGGTGATGGAATGAGGAAGTATTGACTTGGCGGGCTTTTTGAGAAAGAATCGCACAAAGATAACCGAGAGTGAGCTTCAGGTGTTTTGGCGACAGATGCTGGAAGCTGTTCACGTGATTCATGAAGCACGCATCATTCACCGAGACCTAAAGCCTGCCAATTTCTTGTTGGTCGAAGGGCGCTTGAAACTTATCGATTTCGGGATTGCGAATTCTCTTCAAGTAAGTTGGATGGCCACGTCCTGTTTCTAAGTACTTGAAAGCCTGCCTTCTCTAAACATTTCGTTATGTTCTCATACAGGGCTCGTATGGGTCATGGCCAAACTGGAAGGTCATTGAAGTCTACCACGTCGTTTTCTAGACCTGTAAAGCAGTGAAAAATGACTTGATATTTCATTTTTGAGAACAACAAAGAAGGCCTCCTTTTCTTGATTGTTTTTACTTTATTACCAAATTCTGGTTTTTACTTCTTGAAAAACACAGAAAGGGCCGTAAAAATGTATTTGAAAGTCACAGCATTTTCGCTCATTTTTTTTAGACCGACACATAAAGTTGGCCCCAAAGCTTCAGTTTTTAAATGAAAACTCTTAGCATTCTATAAAGTTGGAGATAATAATTTGACGATTGCCGTGATCTTTGAAATTATTCTATTACACTGTGTTAGGAATCGACAGGTGGACTTCTTGACAGACGTCAAAGTTTTTGTACGAGTCAAATAAGTCCGAGTCTACATGTACGTGCTTTACATGTCCAATTTAACCTTCACTTGTTTCTTTTAGGGGGACAAAACAAGTGTTGAACTTGAAACACAGGTTGGCACATTAAACTTTATGTCTCCAGATGCTTTTCAAGATATCTCTCACGCGCCTCGATTTGACAGTGCAGGAAATGCAAAACCCAGAATGAAGGTAGGGACATAAATTACTGGTCCGTCAGCAGGTAACATAAAGGAAATCCGAGAGGAAAGGTTCTACACCATATTGTATGTTACCCGCTTCTTCGTTCGCGCAACTAATAAATCCCCTATTGGCCAAGCTCGCCGGTTTGGTCAAGATTGCTGAATTTCAGCCTCAGACGCCAATTCATCCCGCTCGCACCCATTTTACATCCATGACGCTCCTGCGATTTGCATCGTTAGCGCGAAATTTGTACGTGTATGATACTGGTTAGCCTGATTGGAGGCGGTAGTTTGTTTTTCAAGCACGAGATTCAGTGCGGCAAATATTCGATCGAGATATTGGACGGGTAGAAGATTTGGGATGCGTGACAAACTGAGGGTGGAGGAGAATTTGCTACCTTTCTATAATATCAAGAAATAGATA